CCTACGTTTTTAGCATTAAAATACTTTGATATTGTCATTTACAAAGATATATATATATATATATATATATATATATATATATATATATATATATATATATATATATATTTGGCCTGACGATTGCGTCTAGCATGAAACAGACTGTCGCCTCTAAGTGTTGACTTCTATGTTCATTTATATATATATATATATATATATATATATATATATATATATATATTTAAATATATATATATATATATATATTCATCGCGACACAGAAACTACCATACTTCGAAACCAAAACCTAAATCTTAAATTAAACTTAAAATTTCAAGTTCAGTTCCATTTTCAAGTGATGCAGAATAAACTTCGAAAAAAATGATTTACTCTATTTATAAATCAAATAGTATTATATATTTTAAGTTGGTGGGGGAATGAGAATTTACAATTTTTTTATTAAGTGGGTGTTGGCTTTTTTGACGCATGGAGATACAAGTATATTTTTATATGACAACGTGAAAATTGTTTATGGTTAGGTGGGGGTTTGAAATTTCGGTCTGTTGATACTGACTTCCTTTTATGCGAACATGTCGTCACAGTCTTTTTGGGGGGGGGTTACACTACAATTCAGTTGGCATTTTTATCTATTTTTTAAATTTATTTTCTTATTTTTTCAACATCGAGATTAAAATTAATTTTAAAATCCATAGTTCCGTTTCATTCTCAAACGATTTTTGGAATAACCTATTAAGAAATTTACTTCATTTATAAGCACAGACAATCTTAATATTTTTATATTTTTTATGGGTTTTAAAATTTAATTTAATAATATTAAGCTCTACTGTTTTGTACTGTTTTTTAAAAGTAAAAGAACACCGGATTGTAAATCTTACTATTATTTCTTATCATATATATATATATATATATATATATCCACAGTTTATTGTATCTATTGGAGTTAACATCCATCAATGGACTTCTTTGCATGTTAAATTTATATATAGTTTATTCTTTTTTTTATTTTACTTTTGTTTGTCTTTTCAGGTAAATGATTTAAAGTGCTTATTATTCTCACTGACTTTTAGCGAAAATGTTAACATAGGAAGAGAAAACGCAGTGTTTACCCTGGTTCATAGAGAACAAATCAGACATCCGTGTTCAGCAGAATTAGGTAACAAAGTATGAGAAAAAACACCAAGTCTAGTTAATGTTCACGCCAGACACAAAGAGTCTATGAAACAGGAAATGTCTTGCAGAAAATAGAAATTGATATTGTCTACTTTTATTGCGTGAAGCCAATGGAGCCCATGTGGAAGTTTTAGGAGATGCTTAAATAAAACTTTATTTATTTACTTCTTTTCTACCCCGTAGAGTTTTCTTCATTTTTCGTTTCATTTTGTTTTGAATTTTTGCACAGATAACAATGGTCAACACATATTTTAGTAGAAGGATGGTAAAATTCTTTCTTGGCTAATTTGAAGGCGCCGAATCTAAAAATGACTTTCATTTGTTCATATTAGTCACCTTTTTCTCCGAACCAAAATTTTTCATATTTCCTCATTTTTATTGAGCGAATTCACGATTTTCAGATTGAAAATCTAAACTCATAATCAACTGAAATCAATGTTTATTAATGAAAAATAATCTATCTCAATGACGAGTGATGGGTCTATAGAAAATGGAATCCATTTTACCATAACCTGACCATTTTTATAAGTGTACAGATATCTCAGTACATATTGAAAAGCCCATTCATAATCTCAGTACGTATTCAAAAGCCCATTCATAATAACTTTAGATTGTTTCTATGAATTCCATTGCTTATTGTCTGTTTAGTGACACAGATTTCTGATGAAAGCAAATCATTCTGCAACCCTTGACGAGTAACCATTGGATTTTGTTTAATTTGACGCATTAATTTCCTTGAAGATCTTAAAGAAATCTTCCGTGGAGTAATCGTTTCTCTGGTTTTCAACAGTTTTCAGTTTTTATACTTTACAGTGAATGAACTAATGGTAATAAATGGAATATGCAGGTTACCTGAGATTTTTCAATAGTTTTTACCTTCTTTTCGGAGCTTAAAAATCAGTTCCTTTTGCGAATTTGTCAATTCTTTACCTCTTGCCATGATGATAACCTTCTTGCACGAATATAAATTACAGAATGTTATGTTTGTATTTTTAGGCTAAAAATTATTTTAGGCTATTATAACATTATTCAAACATTCTAGAGTATTCCACTTGAATAATTTAGAGTATTAAAGCAATTTAAAAGTTTTAAAATCTGAAATTTGCATTGTACGAATACTTTTTAGCCATTAAAATAGATAAATGGGATTTATTTCTATTAAACCAAAAAAGTTCTGTTTTCTTTGCATATTTAGTTATTATGCATCTATGTACAGTTAATTATAAGAAAAGTATGTTTATTCATTAGTTGGAAATACAATAAATTAAAAAATTGTATGTGTACGAATATTTGTTTCCTCCGTTGTGTGTGTGTGCAGATAGATAGATACATAAATAGATAGATAGATAGATAGATAGATAGATAGATAGATAGATAGATAGATAGATAGATAGATAAATTCCCAAGAGGATAGAATCCAGGTAGAACTCAATGTCCAGTACTGAGTAAGAATATAATATAAAAGGCTCAAACACTAATATCCCATGGTTATAATTTATTACATTGGAATCGTAATCACGATCCAATTCATCAGACCTACAAATTCAAAAAGAAATCGGAAAATATAACTCCGGGTATAAAAAACAAAATTTTGGTTAGTGTGTATGTGTGGGAGTGGGAAACAAGTGGGAGAAGGAAATGTATAAAAGCTTTAGAGAGAGGGTGTAGCAGAAGAAAGAAGAACAGGGAGGCCTAAAGGTGAAGGTGGGGATTAAAATTTAAAGAGAGAAGTTTTAATGAGAGGTGTTAAATAACGGTTTAAATGAGTGAGATACAGATAAATATGAATTATTTTCATATATATATATATATATATATATATATATATATATATATATATATATATATATCTGGTGTATCAAAAAAAACTTTTTATAAATTTTGAAGGCGAGTTCCTCACAACAAAATACGGACAAAAATCCATATAAACATGTCTGAAAATCTTTCATTTTTGAGTCATTAAGTTTAAAGTTTACAGTAGACAATCCAAGATACAATCCAAAAATAATTTTAGAAACTTTGGGGACGGACTCCTGACACCAAAACAAGGTAAAATGTCCATATAAGCATATATCAAAAAGGTCATCATTGTACCTCAACACAGTAACTCATAACAAATGTTTAAAATGTCCTCCGCTTGCTTCTGCACATGCATGCATACATCGGATCATTAGCTAGCAGACCCTTTCAAATATTCCCTCACGGGGTCAAATGGTTTTCCAGGCCCCGTTGCATAACATGTTGATGAAGCATTTGGCATTATTAATGTCTGCTGCATAAACCAATTGTTTTAGGTGGCCCCACAGATAAAAATCCAAAGGGTTGAGGTCGGTGGAACGTGCAGACCATGAAAAAGTCCTCCCCTCTTTCATGGTAGACACCAGCCAGTGCATGACGAACAGTGTAACTAAAATATGCTGGAGCCCCATCTTGCATGAACTACATGCGTCTTCGTATTAGCAGGGGTACATCCTCTAGCAGGTCTGGAAGTGTGTTCGAAATAAAGACCCTTTAGGCAACTCCTGTAAGACATGCTGGAAGAACATATGGATCTACCTACAATTCCAGCCCACATTAATTCCAGACCCCATTAATTGTAAACTAATGTCTGTCTCTCGCCTGTCTGCCCACAAATATTGGTTATGTAAATTTGTTATTCCAACTCTTCCAAATGTTGCCTCACCTGTAAACAAAACCGAAGTTCTCCCGTGATGAGTGATCAGAGGGTGAAAGACCCTGCACACGTTGTAAATAATACGGATACAGGAGCTAATCTTGAAGTACCCTCCATGCAGTACTATGAGATGTGCGACATGCTAGGGGCACTTGACGTGTGTTGATATCTGGATCGTTTTCGGCAGCCTGTAGGCGTACAAGAGGTCATCCCTGATACATAGTTTTGTTGTACCACGGATTCTGTCTCAGACGATAAGCAGCAGCAAAGGTTGAATTGATTCGGTTGCCTTCAGTCTGGAAATCCAATCTGTTATAGCCGTGCAGCCTCGCGTCCATTACCATTCATGCCGCCGTAAAAATCATATCTGCCTGCTCACGATATGAATATCCTGCCATTGTTAAACGGAACGCAGTTAACTCCCTACTACACACATTAGATGTTGAAGACAGACAAGCCACAAATATACACGAATGACGACATGGCAACACAGCGCCATCTATTGTAGACTTTCTTTAAACTTAATAACTCAATATGTTTATGTGGATGTTTGTCATTTTGGCGTGAGGAACCTGCCGCCTAATTTTTTGAAAGTATTTTTGATACACCCTGTATATATATATATATATATATATATATATATATATATATATATATATATATATATATATATATATATATATAGTTTTGTACCATGCGTGATACACGCTTAGGTGATCATGTATCTGACGAGGCAATAGGTTGTCATTTCCATTTTTCTGCGGTAGACCAAGGCTATAGAACCTGGTCTGCCCTGCTATTTACCCAGAAGATTCATTTCACAAGGGTATTAGCATGTAAATGAATGTAATGGTTTTGACTGGAATTCGAACTCGGCTCTCCGATTCTTCAATCCGAGCCACTGTTCATTAATCCACAGTTCCTCACGCACACACACACACATATACACATATATATATACATACACACACACACACACACATATACATACATATATATATATACATACACACAAACGTGTGTGTGTGTGTGTGCGAGAGAGGCACACATACATATATGGTAACTGCCGACAAACCAAAGCAGTATGCCAAGATACTGTGAGATACAAAGGAAACTAAATATAATTTAGTGATCAATTGTTGGGGATATTAATATGCATACTTAAACAGATACTCACCTGTTAGGTTCATCAGTGAGGTGCTATTTACTCTTTGTGTACTGTTTAACTCAACGTGGACCTGTCAGCCCACAAGTGGGCCTGAGAAATTTTTAAATGGACCTGGAGTTGACCCAAGGAAAATAGAAAGCATTTGAAATTCTATTTTTTTTTTTTCACTGGAATAAAATTATGAAAACATTGCTTTACTTTATTTTTAAAGGCAAATAATTCAGAAATTATTTTAATAAAATTTTCGATATTTTTTTCTTAAAATAAATTATATTTTTATATTGATTTGAAACATTTTTTGTTTATTGCCTGTTTTTTTTTGTGAAATAGAAAGATCTGGCGTAGCATAGGGAGATCACCGCTCCATGTGGGATGAGGTTAACATAATAGATAGAGAATATCACTAGAAAATACGAAAACTTAAGAAACCAGCGCATTCATTCATTCTCATGTGGAAGTAGAACAATCTATGCCGGTGGACAACGTAAAGGTTTCAGTTCAAAATTCCAATCACCTGAAGAAGGCAGCGGGCAAAACGTCGTGAATATGGTAACAAAGATGAGGACAACAGTCAGAACAATGTAAGTAATGTAAATAAACCAACTTTCTTTCCAAGTGAAAAAAAAACAACACTTTGTTTTTTTGTGGGTAAAACACTCTAACTCTGGCTAAACTTGTTTGCATTTGGTAGTTTTATTGCTGTGATCCTTGAAAAGGGTTAATTGATAAATAAATGGACATCATTTTTGAAAACATATCCCAGTATTTAAAAGAAATAAATTATTATTGCTGGTCTATTTCTGTGTTTGTTGCTTTTATTGATTTTTAGATCATAAAACGCAGTGGCTGCCCGGTTAGTTTTTACTCCCCTTGGTAGCCATTGATTTCGATGTCAAAGCAAATGCTGGTGAAATTGTAAACTTGACTTTAAATCTGAGCCTAACTGTCCCTGTCTTTAATTATAATGAAAATTGTTTTGTCTGCTTTATAATGACGTCATGATTTACAAAGCTACGTTTTCAAATATGTTATGTACAGGAGTCGGCCAAGCTTTCTTAATTTTATATTTTCACCTTTCCCACTCCCTTAGCGAGAGAGCCTCTTGATTTTGTCCCATGGGCAGAATACAGCGGCCTCTGAGTTTTTTGAGGGTTGGACGGCCCATGAAGACATCAATAACTCCAGTTGTTGTTCGGGGACTTGGGTTTGATTGGAAAATGTTCTGATAGACTCCTTTGCAGCCGAAGCCTTAACGAAATACAATCGATTGTTCTCATACCTTACGAAGAGGGTTTATCTATGTAAAATGTTAGGTTGTTTTATGTTTATTTCTTTTACAAAAATGTTCAATTCAAAAATGCCATGATGCCAATTCTGATCTTGGGTTGTGACTCAGAAGGAAATGATAATAAATACGATAATCATTGTACGAAAACTGAAGAATCTTCAGTCCCTGAGTGATAGCGGCTCTCCACAACTTCCAGTCTTTTGTCGCTCTTAGCAATCTTTGTACACTTATTATCTCTCTTGCCTCCTGTTCTACCATCGATTTACACAAACTTGTTAGGGATGTTCATGATGGCTCTCCACAACATCCTATCCTTTTTAATTCTAGGAAATATGTGTCTCCTTATTATTCTTCCCAATTCATTTTCTGTTATCGATTTACATAAGCTCATTAGGTAGGTTGATTATGGCTCTCCTCAACTTCCAATCTTTTGTCACTCTTAGCAATCTTTGTGCCCTTAGTAACCCTTCCACTCTTTGTTTTTTTGTGTTCCATTTGAACAAGCTCGTTAGGTAGGTAAATCTTTGTTTTGCTCTGGCCCTCTTGCTTTCAATATGTTCATATGTTCCACAGGCGGGAAAGAAACTGTTAGAATAGAACTGGCGGTTGTATCTGTCTTGTTCACCGTTAAAATGTGGGACCTAATTACCAATCTAGTAGCACACTTAAATTCATGCAGTGGAGGTGCTAAGGAAAACAGCTCATAAGACCAATTGCCATGAAAATATTTGTCGAAAAGACAGAGGGAAGCTACGTCATGGCGGTTGGAAAGTGACTGAAGCCGAGATGCCAGGTCAGGATCAATTACATTACACACCCTTCTTTGAATTTTTCCAGGAATCTCAAGATATTGATAAGATAACGAGAGAACCATACCAGATATAGTAGATGTATTTAATAAACAGACGAATGGTAGATTTATTAATGTGCAAAAATGATTCTGACAAGAAGAATTGTTTAGCACGACACAGTAAACTAACTTTCGTATCAATAAAGCTGGCAATTAATTCAATATAATCCCTTCATTTTATATCAATGGAAAAAGCGAGCAAAAAAAAATGGCGAAAAGTGTTGCTTTCAGTGTGGCTCATAGCATCAGCCATGCTGACACTCAGAAACACCCTATTTGGTGATTAAACGAAAGCATTTTTTGAAGGCGTTATCTAATTTTTCTCGTTTTATTTGCTTCCATAATATTCACAGAATTCTTTCATTTCAGTAAAAGTGCAATATGGTTCCTCTAATATTTGTAATTTGCTGTTTTATAATTATTTTAAAGGTAAACTAACAATTCTTGTCAGTTTCGGCTGA